ATCAGAATACACATAAATATTTAGCTGTTATTTCTTTAAATTGTAAATACTATATCTTGAAGTATAGTTGTTATACACTAGTTGAAATAGAAAAAATAACACTAAATTATCAAATATTTAGTAAAATATTTGAAAAATATTTAGCAATATTTAGCTACTAAATATTGCTAAATATTTTTCAAATGTTATGCTAAAAGTTTGATAATTTAGTATTATTTTTTCTATTTTAACTAGTGATATCAAATATTGATATTAAATCTTAAATAAAGTATTTATTTTAATTAATTTTAGTATTTCATATGCCTAATACTTGTAAAATTGCAGAATGTTGTTCATTTTAAAATATTATTTATTATTTCAATAAATATCATTATGTCAATACTTAGATCATTATATTATTTAAGCTATATTAAATTAAATTTCATACGAACTATAGCTGAATGCTATGTACTTTAAAGATACTAATTTGTTATTTTATAAATATCGTAATGCTAATATCTACATATGATGATATATAATGATAGTTGTAAATTATATATATCAAAATGCTGATATTTTATATTTAGCAGAGTTTTAGCGATATAAAGCTGAATATTATACTTTAATAAGAAATAATATTCATCACTTTTATAAATATCATTATAGTGATATTTATTTTGCTAATTTTTAATTAATTTAAAGATGAATGTAATCTTTTAAAAAATTGCAATATTTGGTATTTATACAAATATCAAAATGCTAATTCTTGTTAATTTTGCTGAATATTGTAACTAGAAAAATTACAACATTCGGCATTCATATTAAAAATTTTTTTCTAAGTATCTTCATTTGCTGATATTTTTTCAATACTTTGCTGTCATATGCTGAATTTTTGCTGATTGCTGCAGTGCCAAATGTTCCTATTTTGACTAGTAAGAAATAATATTTTATTAATTTCTCATCTTAAAATAAGATTACAAAATATTTTTTATTTCTAGTTAGTCTTAAACTATTGGTCTTAAAGAAGTCTAGTAGCTTAACTACTAAGCTATATATAACAAATACAGTTTTCTAATAAAGTTTAAAAATCCAATTATAAAACTACAAAATTAATTCAAGTTTAAAATTTATTTATTATAGTAATAAATTTACTATTTTGAATATTAAAAACTAAACTTATTAAAATTTACAACAAATTAAAAGACAAAAATTGGTATATTATCTTTAAAATCGTTATTAATAACTATTTTTAATTGCTCAAATACTTAAAGTTAGAAAATAAACTTTTAAAAATTTTTCAAATAAAATCTAGATTTAATACATCGATTGAAAATAATTTATTTCACATGATAACATCAAAAATAAAATACAATTATAATTGCGAACTAATTTTTCAAAATATCTAATCAATGCCAAAACTCATCAGCAATATATATGCAAAAAAATTATAATTTATTCTTGATAGTAGACTTGTTATAGCGATCAATAACTTCGAGGCCCATTAAGTTAACATCTTTGAAAAATTTACCATATTCATTTGCTTCAGCAGAACTGGCTTGTTTACGAGCTATACGTGCGGCAATTCCCTGTAAAATAACAGCCAACTAAAAATTAAAAGGAAAGAAACTTTAATAACAATTCATAATATTATGATCCTTTATAAAACTCAAGCAGTAAAGAATATATTAAAATTAATACCCGAAAAAATGAAAACGCGATACAAAATTCAAAATTCGGTATTGGATATTGTCGACCGGTTTTTTCACAATAAGCTTGAATTAATTCATTGGCCGATGGAATTGGTAAATATTTGATATCACGTAAACCTTCTAAAGGGAAACCAGAAATTTTTTTGGTATAGAAATTCATCAACAAGTTTGCGA